TCATTCTTCTATACTTGTCAGCAGCATATTTCAAGAAGCATTTTGTATACTATTCACTTCCTGGCAATGACACAGTAGAGGTGATGGGAGGATAGATAAAGCAAATATGGTGAGTGGCATTCAACCATCTCACTCCATGTAAAAAAAAAAAAGAGAGAAAAGAAACTTTTATTATTATTATTTGTATTGCCATCATTAATTTTATACTGCAGAATCTCATCAGACCACTGCATAATATGTTAGTCATTATGTTTTGCAAAATTTCCAGTTTTTAATATTGCATGTTACCTGAAATGTTTATCATGGTCTCCAGACCTGATACTTGCAGCTCGGTCATTGGGAAAGGCTATCAGCACATCCTTCACTGACTCTTTATTTGAGCGATGATTATGGATGTATGTCTTGGCTGATTGAAGCATTGCTACAGGTGCAGAGTCCTTGTATTTTGCCAAGTCTTTGGCCACAAACAGTCCCGTGGGATTACTGACCAAAGGGGATATACCTTTACAGAATTGAATATTAAATTTACATATGGTATTTTCAATTTTAGCTTTCCAAGCAATATGCATGAACTAATTAATACACTAAATAATTGGTTCTGACTTAAATGTTAAACCCCTAAACAAACATAATCAGAAAATACAAATAATTCATTAATAAGTAGATCTACACAAAACAATTTAGCAAAATAATGCATGCATAAATAATAAAAATACATGCATAAAAAATAAAACATTATAACTCGAAGAATTTAGGTTACCCATATGAAATTAATTTTAATTTTTATAAGTTAAAGAGAGTTGAATATTGGCAATTTCATATGGTTTAATGTATAAAAGATAATGGAGGATTAGATGAAACAGTAGCAACAAGAAAATCCATGGAGGAGTCAAAACCAGTTTATATTATAGACTCAAAAAAGTAAAAAGAATAAAAAACAAAAATCATTAAAATATTCAATAAACTGTATAGATCATTAAACGAGTGCTATTCGAAGTGAGATCCTCAGAAAGGCAGGCCTGCTTAATTATTATTGCTGGGATATAGACCAGTAATATGTGTTTTAACAGGCCTTCCAGGTGATTTTGATGCATTTTAAAATATGAGAACCACTGGATAAGACCACATTTCATATATACAGCTAAGCAGTTAGTACACTAATATAATTCTACATTAACAAAAATATCAAAATGAGGTGAACATCACACAGTAGCATACCAGGATTAATTTTCATCACAACTTTTTTGGTGGCTGCTTTGCAGATGCTGTTGAAATCTAAATATATGTGATGAAAAGGTTTCATCGATAAAGACAGCAAATTTTCATTTACCACTGGGCCAATAATCTCTACCAACTGCTTCACTTTAAAGACTCCAATTTGATGTGGAATAAATGAACATTTTACATTCTAAAATAAGAATAGGAAAAGAAAGCAATATTATATTTTTAGGAAAAGAATGAAAGAAAATCCAAAAAAGAAAAAAGTTCATAAAATTCCAAGGAAAGCTAGTTCATAATGGTGATATGGAAGTACATCAGAAACATACAGCATTGACAAACATCTAGAATACTTATTATGAAAAATTACTTAAGAAAAATTAAGAAAATGGTACCAAAGCACTTTCAGAATGGCAGATTATGGACCTCCAAAAATCTACTTCTCCACAAAAGGAAAGAGAACACTGGCTTAAAATTGTCAAAATCAGCTTTCTCAGATATCTGGAAATTGCCTAAAGGCTAACAAAAATCCAAGGAGGTATTTTACTTTCTTTGTTGCTATTGTGAAGGGTACTGGGTCTTTGATTTGGTTCTCAGCTTGACTGTTGTTGGCGTATAGGAATGCTACTGATTTCTGTACATTGATTTTGTAACCTGAGACTTGGCTGAATTTGCTTATCAATTCCAGTAGTCTCATGACAGAATCTTTGGGGTTTTCTAGATATAAGATCATATCGTCAGCAAAGAGAGATAGATAGTTTGACCTCTTCTGCCCCCATTTCGAGGCCCTTGATTTCTTTCTCTTGTCTAATTGTTCTGGCTAGGATTTCCAGCACTATGTTGAATGGAAGCGGTGATAGAGGGCAACCTTGTCTGGTTCTAGTTCTAAGTGGGAATGCTTTCAGTTTTTCCCGGTTCAGTATGACGTTGGCTGTGGGTTTGTCATATATGGCTTTAATCATGTTTACGTTAAGTCCTGTCTATACCTATTTTGTTAAGCGTATGTGCACATATAGTAGTAACATTCATCCGGTGT